TTGTATGGAGAAATTGATGTTTAACTTTTATTTTGATAGGAGTTGTTATTATAAAATTTTTTATCACAAAACCCATGAATACTCATGTACCCACAGATACTCAATAAATTTGGTTGAGTTTGAGTTTTCCAAACCCATTGCCATCCCTAGGGGGGAGGAAGGAAAAATCCAGACCACAAATTAAAAATCTATATCACAAACCACAACTCTTTTAAACAAATCACATGTCACACCACACCACAAATTTACTAACGCATGCCACAAGACCCATAAAGCAAACCATAAGTTTATTTAAGTAGACCACAAGTTTCCTAACGTAGACCAGAATTCCCATGAAGTAATCCATAAATTTATAAAAACATACTAAATCCTCACAAAACCTACCACAATCTCTGTGAAACATGCCAGAAAGATGAGAAATCAATCCACAACTCTCAAAATACAAATTGAATTCCTTTTTATTATATTTTTAGTTTATTGATTCGGGTACAAATCTCTAAAATCAAAAGAAGCAACCTTTGTTTTCAGATAGGGATGACAATTTCAACCCACCCCATCAGGTATTACCCGACCCGCAGTGTATCTACTTCTGACCCTCCCTGTCTCGTCCCGACCCCGTTCTGCATCCATTCAATCGCGATTTCTTATAGTATCTATTTATATTCCTCCTATTTTTCCCTTTTTCAATTAGATAAACTTGATCTTTCAATAAGTTAGACTCAATTACCCATTATATTATCACTAGTTTTCATTCATAAAGTGTTTTTCTCTTCATTTTATCATAAAAATTAAAATTTTGCGCACATTATTTTCAAATAACATGTAAGAGTGGGTCGACCTGCCCTATTTGGTACCCGCGTAGGTATTACCCGCCCCGACCATAGTAGCGTGGGGCAGGACATTGATGTTGAGGAACCCACCCCACACGCCCGCCCCATTGCCGTCACTAGTTCCAGATCTCATACTCATCCCTTCTTTGGCTGTGCTCCTCCTTCCATATCACCCAATTTATCGAACTAACAACAACTTTTGGGCAAAATAAAAACCCAAGATGGAAACGAGATAGAGATTGGGCCAATCCCATCACCCCCAAATCCACCACCCACCATTATTTTGATTCATACTGATGAAAATTTGACTCCAAGTGAAATTGAGAAATAGTAAAGGAATTGGCGTATTTTTTGCGTGTACCAATCTAATTGAACTGAATGATGAACAGTTTCTTTGTTTATATGAACAATGAACAGTTTCTTAGCAAGTTGGAAATTAGTCCCATGTCGCGACTAATTTCCGGTTTTAGGTTATACTGCTACGGGTTAGTAACGCCTCAAAGTTGAGCTTCTCTGCTCCGGTCTCCTCCGGCGGCATTAACTTCGTAGGCTCTCTGCTTTTGCTACTGCTTGCTACGATGGAGTGGAATTATCGATTTGGAGTAGGCGCTATGGTGTTGTCGTCGATTAAGATAGCCCCCCGGAACGGCGACATAATTCGTCGCTGGTAGTGGTTGTCGGAGGAGAGAGCGGCGGGATAAAGCTGGGATGATTTTGGAGTTGTTTCAGATTTTAGATTAGGGGCAGTGTTTTGCATTGAATGAACACTGTGCAGCAGAGCGGGTAGGTCGAAGATTGTTGTAGGGTTATTTTATTATAATGCTCTTATTATTATTGTTACTAGAGGATCATCGGTCTACTCTACCTCAATTCACCATTTCGAACTTTATACAGAAGGTTTTTCCGTACCGGCTTCTTTCTGGTCAGTAATGGAAGCAATCGTCCCTACCATCATAAAATAAGAGCACCTGGCTCTGCCCTACTTGGATATGTTTTTATGCTATTAGCTATTAGCTACTCTATTGATTCTTCTCCAAACAGGAACCACTGATTTACAAATATCATTAACCACAGAATTTAATGAGCGGCGCCAAATCTTTCTATGGATTGCTTCTTTCACCGCCCCATGTCGTATCCCCGCCGATTCAGCCTTGTGATACTGATCAACGCCTAGCAAGGGTGACGCCTGAGCAAGCACCTATAGCAGTTGATCGAGAAGTATATAGAGTAGTATATCCGTTTGTATCTACTGTTAGGGTACTAACACTTTTGGATATATATAGCATGCTATTTGGTCCCACGAAGACAATTGCTCGTGTGAGAGAAAAAACCAAAAACTTGGAAAAGGCCAGCTAGCTACCCACCGCCACGGATGAAAGCGTTTACTCTTAAAAAAAAGCTAATACCACTACAACACCCAAACTATCGAAGAAATGCCACTTGTGTCCTAAACTATTCAATGTTTCATTTCTGTCATGAACTATTATTCCATTAATGTTGACCAGCGTTGACCGTTAGTATTTAACAGAAAATCCAGTCGGCATTGACGTGGAATTTTCATTATCAAATTTACAAAATAAAAAAAATAAAAATATATTGACGATGACTTCCGTCTTCCCCACTGCTACTGCAGGAGCTGGTTCCCGACTCCCTCTACTGTTGAGTTACGAGGGTTTCCCGAATAGGATTCTCGTTCTCTCCGATCACTTCCCTTCTCCCCCATGAATCGACTGGCGACTACACAAGTGGCTACCTCCCTTACGTGTGGACCCTTGGTAGATTTCGCCCGTCGATTGATTGTCGGGGAGGCAGCCACCGTCAATTATTCCCTTCTTTACCTCTGCTTCTCTCCGACCTGAGCATCACCAGATCATTCCCTCCACTTCTCTCCCATCTTGGTGTGATGGATCATGTCTTTCCCTCTCTCAGACTAGCATTAATCGTCAATCAGATCTAGGTGGATTCAAAAGATGGATTCAATAGATCTCACTTTGTGGATAGCAATCAAAATCCAATCCAAGCTCGGCAATCGAAATTCAATCCAAGCTCTGCAAGCTTCTCTCTCGCTGTATCGCATTAGGAGGAGGAAAAGCTTGTATTTCTCCATCGTCAGATCTGCGATGTTTCTCTATTTGAGACCTCGCCTTTCTCCAATCAACCCTTTAAATTCCGCCGAAAATGGGTTTTGTCGATGTGGTGGGATTTCGATTGGAGGTAGAGGAAAGGTGAGGTATCGCCGCCGTTGGAGGAACAAGGCAGCGACATATCTGACTTCCCCAAGTGTTCCTTCAAAGATCCGCCACATCAGTCTTCTTAGGGTGGAGAGAGACGATCGACGAAATCCAGCCCCGACTGCGACATCAGTCTTCTCTGGATATGACCAAACGACGGTAGGAGTCGACGGGAAAGTACCAAGCAGAGAGGAGAGAGACAATCGACGAAATCAATGGAGTTTTTTTTACTTTTGGGTTTTAGAATATTATTTACTAATATTCTTGAATTTAAAGTTTTTTCAATTTTTAATTTCAATGACTTGGCACTGCCATGTCAGCAAAGTCAATGTTAAGTTGACCGTCGTTTGGTCAACTGTTATCTTTAACAGTCAACTAATTGGCAGGATACAAATGACACAAAATATAATAGTTCATGACATGAATGGAATATTGAAAAGAATAGGATACAAGTGGCATTTTCGTCATAGTTTAGGTGTTGTAGTGGTATCAGCCCTAAAAAAAATTGTGTACCTATTTGTTAATGTGGGATATAAGTCATTTATTAACTTCTAGAATGTGGGCTCAACCCACTTAAGAGCTCATCTCGGTCCAGATAGCTTGCTCGAATCAGCTCGGCGAAGTTCAAGGTGCGACGAATTTTGCGCCGGTGAAGAGTTGACGGCATGGTTGTCATGCCAGTGGTATGCCGGCCGGTTGAATCAGGTTCAAACGGTGCCGATCATGAAACCGGCTGGAATACTACCATCATGACCCTGCAGTCAATACCGGTCAAATCCCAGAATGCCGGTGGTTCAACCATAATGGAAAATGTCGGCATCTTCAGCAAACTCGACGTCGTTTTGTGAAAATAGAAAATGCAAATCAGGGTTTCACTTTCAGCAGGTGGGCTCCAATCCCATCGACCCATCCCGATGCAGCAGGCAGACTGCGAATTTGCCTAGCCACCAAGTATGCTCGCGCGCCTCTTCCTCCCGGCGACGCTCCTAATCCAAGGTCGTCTTCCTTTAGATATATGAATGTACTTTTGATATATTTTCTTGAGATGGTTTATTTAATTTATATCGAGAAATTTTTATAAAATCGACATAAACCGGTATAACCGGCACGAAACTGGTTCTACCACGATAGAACCATTCCACTTGTAAAATCGGCACACCGACATAAACCAGTTTTACAACCTTGGTTGACGGGCTTAATTCCGGTCACCGATCGACCGAATGATAATAAGCATTAAGCACGTCGAAATAAAGCTCTATGTTTTTTTTCACTTTCCAAACGGTTCGTTGGCTGTTAAGATATGAACTGCAAGTAAAAGCAAAATTTCCAAAATAATAAAAATGTGTAAATCAATTAATCGTGCGAACTAATTAATATAAGTTGGTAAGGGTCGTGTGGCAGTGCATCCTTTTCCATCAAATATCTAACATATAACTCATGTTCATTAATCAGAATGGTCAGTTATTATTTTTTAGGGTTAATACCCTAGTTTGGCCCGAAGTTTAGCGTTAGTGACAGTTCTGGCTCCATTTTTCAAATAAGACATTTATGGCCTACTTTCAAAATTATTGGACAAATTTGGCCCGACATTTGAGTTGACCGTTAAAACTGACGGTCAAATATTTATTCCGTCAGTGACTCAGCATTTAGTGTTGAGGTGGCAACGACGTGTCATCCACATCATTTCCACATAATTGATTTATGTTAAAAAAATTTCGTTAAATTATTTATGTTAAAATTTCTAAATAAAACATGAAAATAAAAAATAAATAACAAAATGATAAAGGGAGAGGGATGAAATCCCTAATTCACTCTCCTGACTCCTCCCGCCGCTCTCTAATGCATCCACCTTCTTCCTCCTCACCTTCTGCCTTCTCGATCCATCTTCTTTGTTTCCCTCATCAAAATGGAAATCTCCATTCTTCCTCCTCACCTTCTGGCCCTTCTCATTTCCCTTCTGTTTTCGATTAGAAGAAAGGAAAATCAATTGCGGCAGCTAAGTCGACAGCTCTCGGAGCAGCTGAAGAGTCATCGGCATTATTCGCCCTCCCTCCGTACCACCAGATCGAAACCTCCAAAGAGTTCCTTGGCGGATTTCCCCTTGCGGAGCGCAGCCGCCAAACGACTAGGGAAGTTAGCATCGAATATTGCCTCCTCCGCTACACCGCCGACCGCACAAAGCTCCCCTGCTACCTCCCCGCTGTTCAAATTTAGGGTTATGAGTTTGGGGGGATTAATCAATCATCAGTGAAATTATTACTTAGATCTTTGCTTGAAGAACTTCCTTAATGGTAACAAAATTATGTTCTGTTGGTGGGAGGGGGTTACTGAGTTTGGAGGTTCCGATTGATAGGGAGATGGCGACGCACCTTGTTTGAATCGAACACGCACACCAAACCGCCGTCGCCACCGCCGTCACCAGCCCTCCCCGTCGCCTTCGCCTCCGCGGAAGAGGCACCGTCACAAGCCCGACAAGGAGAGGGATATGATGGGTAGGGATGTGATGATGAAGATGGTGGGGGAGATCGAGCGGAGGTAGCTCGAGATGTGAATGGTGGCATTTTTTTCCGGTAGCGATGCTATGATGTTAGGGTACGATTGGTTGGGTTGGGGAGGGGACTGAATTGGGTCATGAGGGGAGAGAGTTAGGTGGAGATTGGAGAGTGTTTTGATTTTTTGGTTTTGTTTTATTTTATTTAAAGTTTTTTGTTTTTGAATTTTTTTAATATAAATAATGATGTGGCAGCCACATTGGATCCACCTCGGCATTTTGATGTTGTGTCACTGACGAAAAAATAGTTGACCGTCAGTTTTAACGGTCAACATAAGTTTTGGGCCAAATTTGTCTAATAATTTCAAAAGTAGGCCATAAATGTCTTATTTGAAAAATAGGGCTAGAACTGACACTTACGCTAAACTTCGGGCCAAACTAGGGTATTAACCCTATTTTTTATTAAAATGATATTAAGGTTTGAGTTTAGAGAATCAGGACAAAGGGTTTATCATTAGTGGTTAATATAATATTATGTCTCAAACCTTGATTAATTTATCATCTAAATTGTGAAACTCGCTTGAAGTATGGTAAAACGTGCGCTAAACTAAACTATATATATTGTTTACAAAGGTAAAAGCAAGGTTCAAGAAAGCTCTCGGCGTAAAGCGACCATTGAAGCTCTGGCTAGCTCCTAACAAGCCTATGTGTCGCCTAGGCGTGCCTAAGCGTTCGGACGTAAAAGTATCAAACTATCTCATACTTTCCTAAAATCACAAACTTATTAATCAATATCGTCGTGTCTACCTCTCATTTGAAAATCCCTAGTCAATTAACAACACATGGTATATTATAAACCTATAGTATGGAGAAATGAAATAGTAAGAAGAAGCGCCAAAATAACAGAGCTGGTTGAGACGTAAAAGTGTAAAAACGAAAGAAGAAGTTATTCTAAAGATGATCGTCTCTAACTCTAGCCTAGCAGCTAGCGACACTCGGAAAAGGAAGAAGAAAAAGGGAGGACGATATTGATTTCCCTCTAATCTAGTAGCATATTAAGATGCGGAAAAGAGACATTGTGACACATTCTGAGGCATGGATTTATTGTTGACTAGGAGTCGTCGGGGCTAACAACGCTTTCGAGATGCATCTCCACTACTTATGGTCACGGTGAGATGTTTTCCTTTTGCATGCCTAGCGCCTAGGAGACGCGCTTTTTAGAGCCATGGGTAAAAGAAATGTTTAAAAAACAAATAAAGTGCCCTTTTCTCTAACCGGATTCCATTATGTTTGTCTTGCAAATTCCATTTCAACACATATGATGTTTACCGGACCGGATCACCTCATTAACCAGATCATCAGTAACCATCAGTAACCGCGCCATCCACCGTTCATCGCATCTTCTTGTGAACGTCAGATCATGCAAAGTAAATACACGCGGGGAAAATAGTAATCATACGACTCTGACAATTTGAAAAGAAGAAGTGACATTGAACCGTCCTGCCTTCTCTCCGTCTTTCTCTCACCTTTCACGCGATAGTTCTATTTCGCTCTACTGTCTAACTCTTGAATCTTCATCCTGATCCTCAATTCTCTCACCAAAATTGCACCAAAAAATTTAGAAAACACAGAAGAAAGTTCAAACTCGAAGGATTTTCGCTAGGTTTTTGAAGAATCATTCAAGGATACACTATTCTCGCTTCTTCGTCGGAAAAATAAGGGTTTCCAACTTCAACGAGGCTCAAAAATCGTTTTCGCAGAAAAAATAAAGGTAAAACCTCGTATATTTCTTCAAAATCCCTCCACAAAACAATACAAACAGTATTTCAGTCACTCTTCATGTGAAAATTGAAGTAAACTTGCTACATTACCAAATCGTTACCATACATTGCTGAACTGGTGTTGAATCGTTACCATATGGTATTAAGATTTGTAATGCGGTAAAACATTACTTGTACTGTGCTATGCTATATATTGCATACTGTTACCATATGGTAAGATGTGGTAAGCTATAGTTTGATGTTATAAAATGGAGTAAACCATAACTCTTGTTGTGTTTTACTTTGTTACCATATGGAAAGATGTGATAATCTATGGTTTAATGGCATAAAATTGAAGAAACCATAAGTCCTGTTGTGTTTTACTTTGTTACCATATGGTAAGATGTAATAATCTATGATTTAATGTTATAAAACGGAAGAAACCATAAGTCTTGTTATGTTTTGGTTTAAACCATATGGTAAGATGTGGTAAACTATGTTTGATGTTATAGAATATAGTCAACCATAAGTCCAGTTGTGTTTTGCTTTGTTACCATATGGTAAGATGTGATAATCTATAGTTTGATGTTATAAATTGGAAAAACCATAAGCCATGTTGTCTTTTTGGTTTAATACCATATGCTAAGTTGTGGTAAACTATGGTTTGATGTTATAGAATGGAGAATACAATAAGTCCTATTGTGTTTTGGTTTATTATCATATGGTAAGATGTGATAAATCTATGGTTTGATGTTATAAAATGCAGTAAACCAAACATCCTGTTGTGATATGGTTTATTACCGTATGGTATGATTTGGTATGGTAGGATACCATTATGGTACCATATGGTATATTATGGTAAAAAGCTTCCTAATAGACTATTCTTGTTTTCTACATTCCGGTACACTATGGTGAAAGAAAGAAAAAAATTTCGCACAAGGTGCAGCCCGACCAGAGTAGCTGCAATTGCAAGAACATTTACAGATGAGCAGAAAGAGAAACTTGAAATATTAGGCCTAGCAGGCTTAACATCAATCAAGCAGAAAAAGATAAACTCACATTTTAAATTGTTCACAATGAACAAATACAATCCAATGACAGAATCGTTCAAGCTACCAGACGGGACCTACATGAAAATATCAGCAATCGACTTTCATAGAGTATATGGTCTGCCAATGGGGAAAAGGGAAGTTGTACCTCCCAAAATTTATTGGGACGACGCGGGAGATTATGCAATAGAAACTCTACTAGAAGTAGAAGGGCCAGGAACAACTCCAAGGGTAAAGCTCAGTCAGATAGAAAAAGATCTTCCTACAACTACAAAACTAAGAAATGGTTATAATTATTCTTTCTGCTGGTCACCGGAGGCTTGCAGTGTTCAACTTCAACCCCTACTGCTGAACTCAACATGCTTGAGTACTTGAAGGCTGAAGAACTCAACCATTTCATCAGCTACAACTGGTGCAAATAATTCTTCAAACACATGAATGAAGGATTGAAATCAGCAAACCATTACGCCAATGCAGATCTTCACTTCCTTACAATAAGTCTCCATTCCTTCGGCCATTTCAACCTTATTACTCATATATTTTATATACAAATGGTCGTCTTCGAAAAAACTTATACAAATATCTGCATTGCCAACCACTACAAAAAAGGTATGCTTCATATACAAACTAAAGGAAATGACCTTCTCAAGAAAGCTTTGAACCTCAACAGTAAGCTACTGTGATGATCTCAATTTCCAAAGCAACTTTGAGAACATCAAGAGCCACTACAATGGAGAAGAGTTAACCCAGCTAGAAAATCTTGCCAACAATGTTGTTGACGAGGCTGATGATACAACTGATGAGGATCATGAGAATGAGCCAGTCCATCAATGACCAAAAAGACAAAGAACCAAAACTCTAGACTAGTCATCCTCACTAAACTTTAATTTGAAGAATATCAAAACAGTCAACCAAGTAAGTACAAATTATATATATTCCAGTTGTCCAATTCATGCTAATAAATTGTAACATAATGAAAATAATTGCCAATACCATGTATTACCACCATGGTAACTAATTATACACCATACACACATTACCACCATGGTATCTTACAAAACTAAAATCCCATTATGTAGGCTGAGAATGCAATCAAACTGGTTGAAGCATCGATGAAGGCAATGATGAAAGCAATCAAAGAGCAGTACAACACCCAACTTGATAAGCTGCTCAAACACAAAGAGAATCTTCAGAAAGAAAGCTTTGATGAATATGTTCAGCCCACGGAAGGAGAAAAATCTGACAATGAGGTTGTAGGAAGAGACAGTGAGTGTGAAGATGATGAAGAAGAGAACGATAAAGAAATCAATGCCACTTTGGATAAAACCCTTAAGACAATATTCAAAGAGACAAAGCTAGACAAGAAGCAAATAAGGAACAAGGAGGGAACACAACAAGAAGATGATTCACAACCAACTACAGTCAATCTTGCTGCACCAACACCAAAGCCAAAAGAAAAGGAGCAAGATGATTCTGGTATTGAAGTAGATGTATCGTCAAAATTTGTTCCAGAAACTTCAAGCCAAGGAACCACCAAAGAAGTTCTAGAAAAACCAGCTGAAAGAGAAGAACAACCAAAATCTGCTCCAAAAGGTGTGAATATGGAAAGCAACCAAGAAGGAGTTCCACTGGTGACAGTTGCAACAGAAGCACCAATACAATCTGTTCAAGAAGTTCCGGATCAGGAAAACACCCCAAAAGGAGTTCTAGAAAAGACACCTGCAAAAGAAACCTGAGAAGAAGGAGCTAGAGAAACAGCAGCTCCAATGGATCTTCATAAGGAAACACCACAAGAAGAGAAACAAGGTCAAGCTGCAAAAAAAAGGCTGCAGAAAGTGATAGCAAGAAAACACAGTCAAATGATGTTGTTCGAGAAGAGAATCTGAAACTGCCAACCAAGGGTACTAAGAAGACTAAACTGACAAGGGGGAAGACGACATTCCATCCTTCGATCTCAGCCCTCTCAACCATCAAACACCACCACCACCAACAACAACACTAAAGTTGACTACCACCACGATAACCAATCAACCAGAAGAGCCTCGCAAAAGAAGAATCCTGGTGAAGAATGTGATTGGAAATGAAAAGAAGGCAAGAAGAACAACGCCACCAATAAAGCCACAAAGCACCCAGTCACAAAAGGAATCATATAGCATGGTCAAATCTATACACAAGTAGTCAAGAGAATCTCAAGGAAGTACATGAATGCATAAATGCTTACCTCGAGGACCTGAATACACCAACTGTAAAACCAAATTGCTCCACAATCACAAAGTGCACCAGTTGAAATAAAGGATGGTGTCATGAATGCGGTACCAATTGCAACAATGACAACACCTGATGACCTGTTCAGCAACATCCTGGAGTACATAAGATGCAAAAACAAGAAAGTTGTCAACAGGTAAGTCATCATCTTAAAACTTC